ATATTCTTCTTGCTTCCAAACAAGCATGGAAGTACCAATTAGTCAAAAGAACAGCTTCAGGGTGGAACAGAATAGATTAGAGTATGTGCCCAGACCCTTGGCCAGGTGCCTCATGACAGCTCCTATTAGCATCACTGTCCCTCCTTACAGATAATGAGGCTGATGCTCAGAGAAGGAAGGCAGCTTGATTCAGGCCACAGCATTCATGAGGAGTGGAACCCACCCTGAAAGAGCCTGAGAATATGATCAAGGCTATGGAATCTGATGGCAGACTAGACCCTGCTCAAGGATCCTGGGATAGGGAGACCACAGGGGAAGGCAGAGTCTCTGGGCTTCCCCACATGGACTAACATGACAGAGGCCTGGGGAGATAGTAGATGGGCAGTATTAAGAGTTACGGACTCTAGAAAAGCAGGCACCTAGACAGCTGGGAGTTCTCATCAGGCACCTCCTTTACTCCAACCAATATGTATACTTACCTCAATGCTTTATGAAGGATTGTAATGAAGTGGCAGAGGGTGGATCAATGGGAAAGCCTGTCTTCCCTCTCCTCAGTCTTTGGCTTTCTTTTGGCCTCTTGGCTGGCTCAGCTGGAAGCTGGGAAGTCTTATTCCCTTGACCCCACTAGATACTACCTTGGGCCAATAGCCAAAAGCAGAAAAAGGATTTGGAGGTGTGGTTCTCAGCCTGTGCATTTCAGTAGAGGAGATCTGGGGGACATTGGGCTACAGGCAGGTGGCCATGAACAAGGTGATGGGGGAGCTGAGGTTTCTACTAGTAGCTTATTGTTCAAAGGAGAATAGAATGGCGATGACTTCTAAAGATGAGAGTGACATGTGGGGTGAAAATTTGGAATTCCCACCCAGAAGAACACAGTTGGGACAAGTCAGGGCCAGTTATAGTGGTTGCTGAAGCTTGGCTGGGGTTCAAGGCTATCACCTCATAGTGGCCCCACAAGAAATTTTTGTCTATCTTTTTCCCTGGACAATGGGGTGTGGTCTACCATTGAGTAAAGTGTATGTACTAGAAGTCTGAGGGGCAGGAAAATTAAGGACGAGAACATGCACGAAGAAAAGAATAAGCAAAATGATCAGGATGGCATAGCAGTGGGTCTGGTAGGCAGAGCAATGGAGGCTTCAGGCTGGCTCTAAGTCATGTTTTTACTAGACCATCGGAATGACAGGCTGAGGAGATGACTCAACCGGGAAAGAGCCTGGACTCAAGCCTGAGGACCTGAGCTAAACCCCGGAATCCACGTAAAAAAGCTGGGCATTGTGGTGCACATTTATAATGCCAGCGTTGAAGAGGTGAAGACCGGAGGATCCCTGGGGCTTGCTGGCCAGCCAGTGTGGCCAAGTCAGTGAGCTCTGGGTTCAGTGAGAGACCCTATCTCAAAAAACGAGATGTAGAAAGATTGAGAAAGATGCCAGACATCCACTTATGGCCTCCACACGTACACACATGATGTGCACATGCATCTGCATACACACACACACAGACATGAACATATACACATACACACTTTATTTGTTCTCAGATGGGCTTGTGGAGAATGGAGGGTAGAGATGCTCTGCATGGTCCTCAAAGGAGAGGTGTGATGGCTTGTGTTAATTATCAATTTAGCAGAATGAATCTACAGTCACCTGGGAGATGGGCCTCTGGGCATGCCTGTGGGGGATTATCTTGATTACACTAATTGAGGTAGGAAAAGCTGCCCACTGTGGAATCCTGGACTGTGTAAGTGGAGAAAGGGAACTGATCAGCAGCATATATTTCTCAATCTCTCTCTCTCCTCTTCCTGACTGTGGATGCAATGTGACCAACTGCTGCTTTAGGCTCTTGGCTTGACTTCCCATCCAGGATGGACTGTACCTTCAAATTGTGAGCCCGAATAAACCCTTTCTCCCTTAAATTGCTTCTTGGAGTATTTAATCACAGCAACAGGAACACAAACTAAGACAAGAGAACATCAAAATATCCATTCCCTAGATGGGCTCCTGAGAGAAGAGCGCTGTGGGCAACACGGTCTCCATTCCATGCACCACCTATCTCCTACAGCTGTACATGACAAACGGCAGACAGTGAAAGGGTCCAGCCAGCTGGTAGACAAGAGCTACACAGGGAGCACCGGCTGCTGGCGAACAAACACTCAGCCATGATCGTGGTGATTTGTGAACTTGTAGGTGATATTCCCAGGGGTTGTCACAAATATTTAACTAAGAGACAATTTAGAAGGTGGCTTAGGCCCTGCATTATGTAAGTGGGAAATGCGAGTAAGAAAAAAAATGTAATTTTAGCTGGTAATGTGACCCCATTTATGCACACAGACTGATAAGGCCTTGGTGAACTTAGATGATAGTAACAGTAACTGAACGGACCATCTCTAGAAGAGTGCTGGGTATATTCTTGGCATGAGGTTAATACATCTCTCTTTCTCTCTCTCTCAAATGAATCTTAACCTTCTGCAGCATAATTTTTATTGCCCCTATTTTGTAGATGATGTTCTAGGAGATAATAACTTGCAGAGCTCACAAATCAAGCAAGAAATGGGGCTAGGATTTGGATAATGGGGTTTGGGATAATTAAGGAAGAAGAAAAGGTCAAATAGGGAATAATGGAGTAGAAAAGAGTGGAGCTCTGAACTCACTCTTGACTATTAATAATCTCTGAAGAGCACAGGGTGTTTGATCCTTGCCAGGCATGGTAGCAACGACTCCAGTGCACAGGATCATTGATCTTTGTAGCTTTTCTATGAGGGATTTTCCTACCATCATTTTACAGACCAAGAAGTGGAGGTTTTGAGAGGTTAAATAACTCGCCCAAGGTCACCTGACTGCTAAGCAGCAAACAGGAGATTGAAGTCCACTTAACCGACAGTCTACACTCTTGGCCAGGCCTGGGTAATGGCCCGTTTTGTGAGTTTTTACTGACATGCTGCTATGCCCATTTCTTTAAATTTTGCCTATGGCTGCTTTAGCAGACCTGAGAGGCTGTGACAGGCAAACCTAAGAGTTACTTTTTGTATGTGTGTGTGAGAGAAAGGGTGTGTGTGTGTGTGTGTGTGTTTGTATATGTGTGTTTTACATGTGTGTGGTGTAGGGAAACGTGGGAGGGTGAACATGCATGTGTGCACATACGGAGGTTATCCTTCATGTCCAGAGGAGCACATCTGGTGTCCTGCTCGATCATTCTCCACCTTATTCCCTTGGGACAGAGTCTTTCATTGAACCTGGAGCTAGGGTTGCATCCAGCCAAGCCTCAGCAATCCTCTTGTCTCTGTCCCTCACTGCACTGGAGTCACAGTTGGGTATGTGGCCATGCCTGCGTGTTAGGATCTGAACTCAGGTCCTCATGCTTGTGCTGAAAGGGTTCTTACCCACTGAGCCGTTTCTCCAGCTTGCTGGCTTTTTGTATAATGTGGATGCTAGGGATCCAAACTTGGGTCTTTGTGCTTGCATGGCAAACACTTTACTATCAATCTCTATAGCAAGTGAGTTTGTGACACATGGCCACACAAATCCTTTACATTTTGCTTAAGATTGAGTCTTCCAAGGACAGAATTGAGTAGCTACAACAGGTAAATATTTATTAATTAAAACATTTACTGTCTTTTAAAAACATTTTATTATTTTTATTCGATGTGTATGAGTGTATTGCCTGCATATGTGCAAATGCAACTGCATAGTGCAATGCCCATGGAAGTTAGAAGAGGGCTTCAGATCCTCTGGAACTAGAATTGTGCATGGTTGTTAGCCGTGTGGGGGCTGGGAATTGAACCTGGGTCCTCTACAAGAGCAGTCAGTGCTCTTAATCACTGAGCCATCTCTCCAGCCCCATATTTACTATCTTTAAGACTCCCTCTTTTGATACCTCTATTATCCACCGGCCTAATTCCAAAGTGTGATGAGAGTAAGAGAATGGGAGAGCCAGAAGGATAAGAAGATGTGATCAGGATATATTGGCTGGTGACAAGTCTGCGACAAAATGCCAGTGTCTGAGCACTATGACCCTGGAATTGCGTGAGCTGTCCATATGAACTGCTATGCCCCAAAGGTTATGGATGGAGATTTGGTCTCCAGTGTGGTGACGTTAAGGTTCTATGTGTTTGAGTGTACTGCCTGCATGTGTGCCAGTGCACCTCTGGTGGAGCTTTAAGAGGTAGAGGTGGTTAGGTCGTGGGGGCATTGCCCTCAGAAGGGATTAAGGTAGTTATCATAGAACTTCAGTTATGGTGGGCTGTTATAAAAAGAGCAAGCCTGACTCCTGAATCTCTCCAGCTAGAAAGCTGGAGAGGCTGAACCCTCAGGAGGCCTGACCATGTGATCTCTGATGCATGGGCTCCCTCTTCCCATTATGGTGACCCCATCATGAAGCCCTTAAAAGAGCCCAACTAGAAGGCTTGACCTAACCTTGGACTTTATCTCTTTTAGCCTTAATCTCTTTTCTTGAAAAAGTACCAAGCCTCAGGTATCTGTTAAAAGCAACAGAAGACAGAATAAAACACATGGTCATTGAAGTTTCCCAAGATGGTGAGACGCCCTGGGGTCTAGAGGAAGATTTAGATCCAATATGAACCCTCAGGAGGCAGAGGAATGCTATTAGCGGATGGGTAGGGAGTGAGGCTATGAGACTGAAGTAGGGATAGGAATGATCCTTAGAGGAGGGGAGGAGAGGAGTAGTGATTTGAAAATTGAAATAGGGTACCATAGAGTGCTTTCCCCCTTCTCTCTTGCCCTGGGATGTATGAATGCGCAGGACTAAGCCACCTGGCGGCTCAGAGGAAATACAGGTCCTCAGAAAGGAACCTGCAGGCTTTCTGTGGTCCAGTCCAGTGCCCTCTCTTCTGCACTCTGTTGTCCTGGCCTTTCCAGGCCTGCTCGCCCCACCCTTAGGACTTTCTGGCACTAGGCTCTTACCTGTGTAGTCAATAACGAAGCCAGCATTGCTCACAGATGCATCACTGCGGAAGGCGAGGAAGAGGCTGTTGCTGCTGCTTTCAATGCGGCCAGGGAGCTGGGAGCCATAGAAGCTCCCTATGAGAGGGCTGAGAGAGTCCCGTCCATCGTAGATATGGAGGAAGTCATAGCCAGGCTCCAGGTTGAAGCTGGGGAACAAAAACAGCCCACCCCATCCACTAAGGTCAGGTAGAGGCTTGTGCTAGTGCTTTATGCTCAACCCACTGCCCCATGGGACCCAACTCCTGAAGACTGGCTGGTGAAAGAAGAGGGTTAGGCCCTGGTGACCTCCCAGTCAGGAGAGATGATGCTAAAGTGGGCTTGGGGCAGAGGTGACAGATTCCAGTTAGTGTTCTCAGTGCTGTAGCTAAAGACCTAATGCTCTGCTCACACAGGAGGGAAAGACAGTTGCCAACTCCAGGCACGTAAAGGCAGGGCAGGCAGCTCCAAACCACAGAGGGGCAGGCCAGACAGCTCTGAGCCCAGTCCTCTTACCTGACTAGCACTCCGCCATCATACTAGTATGTACTGACTTTGCTAAGAGGGTAGAGCTGCCCAGGGAGCCATCTGCAGCAGGACAGGCCACCATGAAGGACCTGCCTTCCTTCCTTCATCCCATGCCAACTGTCCAGCTCTCTAGCATCTGCTACTACCAGGGTCCCAGCATCACCTCTCCCAACCCCGTGTCTCTCTTAGCTAGCTCAACCCTGGTGTGGGGCCAAAATTCATTCTTAAAAATTGTCTTTGTTTATCAAATTGAGAATTGGAGTTCCCGAATGTAGTTTAGCCCACTGAAACGGACAGTGGGGGTTTAAGCGTCCGATATTGTGACGTGAGGTCGTCCGCTACAAGAGTGTTAGGCGGCATTCACAGCTGCCCCGGGATGAGCGCAGCACACATGTTGTAGGTCAGACACACCTGGCTAGAGGGAACATGGTGGAAAATGACAAAAACGGTGAAAAGTGGGGCCCAGCAGCCCTCACGCCCTGCTGGGGTCTCGTGAACTCAGCCCAGTTGGAGCTCTGTGTGCTGGATCTGCTCACTCTAAACATGGGCTTGCTCTGTGATGCACACGTCTACTCTCAAGCACGCATCCAACAAAGGCAGTTTATACTAAATTGTGATGGCTAATTTTGATTGCTGACTCGATATGCCTGGGCAGAAGGGACCTCAGCTGAAGAATTTCCTCTATCCGATTGGCCTGAGGCATGTCTGTGGGGCATTTTTCTTGATTACTAACTGATGTAGGAGGGCAAAGCCCAACTATGGGTGGTGCCACCCCTGGGCAGGTGATCCTGGTTACAAGCTGAGCAGAATGCCTTAATTTCCACAGTCCATTTCTGCTGGATGTTTGGAGTGCCTGATTTGACTGTGCAATTTACTCTTTTCCTTAGGCTTGCTATATAACTGATAAATTTACTTATTCAAAACCCAAAATATGGTGATCACAGATCATTCTCCAGACCATATGGAATAGTCAACAGTGTAGAATATAAAGTCTACACAGTGTGCAGGCCCCAAGGAGACACTCAAGCTTTCATGGTGGTCTAGCCTGAGCTTATCCAGGAGAGAAGATGGCCCTCAACAGTGGGACAAGGAAGGAAAAGAAAGTAGCTAGGAGGCAGAAATGGACTTGAGTCCAGAGGGCATGGAAGGGTCCATGGGACTGGGGAAACTACCAGCATTCAGTCTGGCTGGAGCTCTGAACACATAATAGGTAGTGACTTGCTTGGAGAGGTAGGTGTGTGCCTGGTCCTTGGGAGTCAAACTCAAAATTCAGATGGACTTACAGACAAGAGAGAATCATTAAAGGATTTAAAATAAAAGATCTATTTGTTGGTTTTTTTTTTCTTTTTAAATTTCTCATAAGAGAGAGCACCTTGGAAGACTAGATGGGGCAGGGGGTCAAGTAAGGATACTGAGGCATCTTGGTGATGGGAAATGATAAAGGCTCAAGCTAAGCCAGGTGCCCATAGGATGAAGAGGGAGATCCATGGGAAGGTCAGGCATTAGGAAGGACACCTTGATTGCTCCTGAGGGAAGTAGTGGGGTCGGGCAGCGGTTCAGAATGGAGCTGGTATGGAGAAGAAGCAGGTGCTGGTTTTGAATGTGGTTCATCTGATGTGTCCACAGGCACCCTCAGGGATGCCCAGAACTGGGAGGTGAGATCCTACAGCTCTGAAGGCAGACAGGATGTGCAAGAGAGGGGACTATGCCATCTCCCACGGAGGTTGGAGCCAGGACAGATTGAGCTTGTCTGGAAGGGGTGGGGTGAGAAGAGAGGGTTCACAGCAAACCCAGCAGAGGAAGAGGAGTGAGGAGATGTTGATGGGAAGTCACAGAACAGACAGAGAACCAGAGGAGAGAACTTGGGAATGCTCAAGGGGTGGTGCAGGCTAGACAAGGGCAATCCCAAGTTACTTGATGACTGAGAGTTTGCTGGAGTCTCTGTGTATGTGCATGCATACATGTGCAAGCCAGAGGTCTCCTTAAAGGGGTATTCACCTTGTTTTTTGAGACAGAGTCTCTTACTGGCTTAGATATGCCAAGTAGACTCAGGGATTTCCCCATCTCCACCTCCCCAGTGCTGGGATTACAGGCATGTGCCACCATGCCTGGCCTTTAAAATTGTGTGTCCCGGCTATTGAACTCAGGTCCTCATCCGTGAGTAGTGAACACTGTTGATTGAGTCATCTCTCCAGCTCATGGTGGAGTCTTTTATCAGAGGAGTTTCTAATGGGACTATGGGAACAGGAGTCAGGTTCCCGAGGCTGAGAATGTCACTGGAGGAGGGGCAGCAGAGGTGAGCAGGGGCAGCTCTTTCAACACTTGCCAGCGAAGGGAATGTAGGTGAGAGGGCAGGGGTTAGAGAAACATGAGTCTGGTCATGGTCCAGGGAGCAGGATGGATGGAGCCAGCAGGAGAGGGCCATGCAGGAGGGAAGACAAGGAGACGCAGCAAGGGATTCCTTTCTGATTCTCAGTAGACACAGGGGTCCTGAAACGACAGCCGCTTCAGGAACTAGTGCAAGGATTGCCGTCGACATAGTGTCCGGCACAGGGAAGATAGCAAGTGGATGCCCATCCCTCCCCATCTCCATCTCCCTCCTACTTCCCATGGAGCTGTAAACTCTGCCACACACCTGTGCATACTCACCTGGGCACCCAGGTCCTCAACCCCCTAGCTGCTCTGAACCCTTGATCACCCACCCGGGGAAAGGTACATACATGTTAAATACCAGGGCGATGACGTAGTCTGGTGAGACGGTCACTTTCCAGTCACATTCCTTGCCTGGCGGATAGGGCTCTGGGTAGTTTGGTGACAGGATGACTCCTGATGGTCCAGTCAGGTCTCCTCCACAGGGAGCTGAGGAGAAAGGAAGATGGGGTAAGGCTATCTGGTCACTTTAATATGTGTCCTTTTATACCATGTGCATGTCACCTCAATAAATTACTATCATTATTGAGATAAGAGTCTCATGTAGCCCAGATTGACCTCTAGTTCGCCAGTAGCTGAGGATGACCTTAAACTCCTGATCTTCCTGCCTCTGCCTTCCAACTGCTGAAATTATAGGCAATTTTGCCACCCTACCCGGTTTTACACAGTGCTAGAGACTGAACCCAGGGTTTTATGCACGCTAGGCAAGCTCTCTATCAACTAAGGTGTATCTCCAACTCCCAACAGATCAGTTTAAAATAGTATCTGGCTCTTCCTGGCGGTGGTCTTAGGGAAATTATGTAACCTCTCAGGGCCTGCATATTTTCCTTTTATGATAAAAAGAGATGTTGTCTCCCCTTGGGGTCGCTGTAAGGCTTACTGGAGAGGTCTGTTGGCACACTGGACATGGGGCCCATGGTCAAAATGGCATCCTCATTGTCTTTCAGAAAGGTGGCATCCTCCTGCAGCCTCGTGTCCAGAATTTAGGTGAGCCTTGTGGGCATTCACCATGACTTCCATGCCCTGGAGGCCACCAGGAGCATAAAGCACCATCACACTCGCCTGACAAGCACAGGTAGTCTTCTCGGCTGCCCAAGGAGGAATGTGCACCTCATCAGGACTAAGGTGCTGCAATCTTCAATGAGCCCTCAGTGGCCACCCTTCCCTGGACTCACAGGCTTCTCAACAGGTGGGACGATGGGGTGGCAGGGATATCTAGCAAGCTACTTGCCCAGGAGCCTGCTGAAAACTTCCCCAGGTCCTGAGCAGCCCCCTCTGCATTCTGAACAGGGGTGTGGCATGGTACAGGACACTGAATAGTGCAGATGATGGAGCACAGTGGGGTCATGAACTGGGAAAAATGATGGAGATTGGATGGCGGCTCTGACAGGAAGCCAAAGGGCATCACCAAACTTAGCAGTGGAATTAGTGAATGGTGGGAACACAGAGAGCTGGAAGGGGTGGCCAGAAGACCCACGACGAGCAGTGAGGTGGGAGGAAGCCAATGGATGCGGCTGAGAGCCTTGCTTATCCCAGAGCTGAGCTGTTGCTGTTACCCAGTGGAGGCACAGCTGATTTGGTCAGCTCCACTAGGATCTCTACAGAAGGGGACAGTTCCAAGGTCAGACCACAGAGGCGCCAACGTGGTTGAATGTTAGCCTAAAGGGCTCATAAGCAGGGTGTTTTCTCTGTGGAAAAATACACTCTATGGACTATGTTGAGTTTAGAAACATTAAAGGATGTAGGTGCCTGTCACCTCAGATAGAGTGTTCCCTCATTTGTGTCTCACTGACAGTTCAGAGAGCTGGAGGTGAGAGGAAGCGAGGGTGTGAGAGGTGGGAGAGGTGTTGGCATGGACTATACACTAGGAGGAAACTGAGGTTCAGAAAGATGAGGGAACTTGTCCTGTCATTCTAAGACTCAAGTCCTCACTGCCTGGCTGGAGTCCACCTCCTTCCTCCTCCAGAGACGTGTAGGGTGGCCTCTCCACTGTTCGTCATCCTGAGGCAGAACAGTGTTCCCCCCGCCCCGCTGCAGGCCATTAGAAGTACAGGTGTAGAGCTTCCCTAAGTGAGGTTGGGCACCTGTAGGCTGCTCGCCTCTCCCTCTCTCTCTTTTACCAAACTTTTGCCAGAGCACAGGTTGGGGCAGGAGGGCAGGCTGAGTAAGGCCTGTCACCTGGTCAGGACCACAAAACAGGACTGTGACGTCTGGTCACTGAGAGTGGCCTTATCCTGGCCAACTTAGAAACAGAGTCCGATGTCACTAGGAATGTGGAAAGTCTGTGTCCCAAGCATGGTTGTGTGGAGTCTTCCTCAGAGGTCTCCATGATGCTGCCATTCTCAGTCAGGGTTACAGCCTCGACTGCCCGCTGCAGGGGTCTTCCCTGACACACACAGGATGAGTCTGGGTGTTTCTGAAACTACCCTGTTAGTCTTCTAGCCCCCAACGTAACCCCAGGATGTTGAGGTTCCAGGCCTTGGCTCTGACATGGCTTTTGTTCAGATGGTCCCTGACATCAGACGCTTAGGTGTCTGCCTCATAATCAGGACTAAAGAGGGCTCTTCTGTCCTCTGCCAGCTGGGCCCCAAGGCCCTGGAAGGGACCCGTGGGTTGTGTCACCAGAACCATTTGAGGACAGGTGCAGAGCTGAGCTCAGAAAGCAATGATTCCCGGCTAGTATGGGTACCAGCTTCTGGATGGTTAAGAGGTAGATGGGTTGGTTGTACTGAGGAGCATGGGATGTGACAAGAGCATCGGTTTGACAGTTGCACAGTCCTGGGGACAAAATCTGACATTCTGCTCGTTAGCTGTGTGGGTTTGAGCATATTCTCCTCCTCTCTGTGTCACTCGTCTCTCACTTCTAATAATGATGATGGTGGTGATGATGATGATGGTGATGATGATGATGGCTGCTAGAAAACATATAGTGTTGACCTATCAGATAGGTACAACTCTACCTATTTTACAGGTAAAGAAACTAAGGCACAAAGAAGTTAAGTAAATTGTGTAAGCCCACACAGCTTGTTGTGGGGATGTCAGACTTGAACCCAGGAAGTCAGAATCTGGAACCAGAGCACCAAGCCCACTGTGATCATGCAGAGCCCAGTATCTGTCACAAGATGATGCTTGACAAATATTTGTTTCCTTTCTTAGTTTCTTTTCTGTAATGCAGGGCCGTCAAGGCTAGCTAGCCCCGTTCATGGCAGACTGCCAAGGATCTGGAAATGAGGGGCTTGTCACTGGGATTTCCAATCTGTTTGCGAGATGAGGAGGCAAAGACATTTATTCTGTGGCCCAAGGAACACTTCCCGAGGCTGTGTACAGAAGAGCGAGCAATGAAAGCTGAATTAACCTTCCTGGCCCGCTTGGTGCTCAGCTACGGCTTGTCTGCTGCACCCATCACAAACCTTCTCTAGAGAAGGCTGGCGCAGGATTTGCTTTTCTGGAAAATGTATCGCAGGACCCGCAGCCTTGTGGGATGGGGGACTCTGAAAGGGGCATCCGAGGTCTTCTGACACTCCTCAGCCTCAGAAAAACTCCGTTGTCAGTGGAATTCTGGCTCAGGAAGAGGAAGGCAGCCCAAGAATTTGAAACAGGAAACAAAGAGCAGGGCAAGAGGAGGACAGGGAGCTGGTATAGGTTGAGATTAGGCTTTGCCCTGGTGTCCCTCCACAGTGCCATAAGGAGAATGCATTCCCCCTCACAAGTGAGGACACTGAGGCTCAGTGTTGAGGCCATTTCCCCAAGGCCACTGAGTCAGTGAATGGTGGAGCCTCACTCTGCACCTGCATCGGTCTGTGTCCACACGGCCTGTATCCATACTGCCTGCTCACAATATATTGTGAAGGGTCCAGGACCCACATCTCTGCCTCTCGTTCTGTACTTTCACTATGTTCCTGCCTCATGACAGGACAGGATTTGTTTCCTTTCTTAGTTTCTTTTCTGTAATGCAGGACAGGATTTAGTGTCCTGTTTCCAGCACCAGGCCCCAGAGCCAGGACCAGTAAGGCCAGGCCTCAGATGTCTGGATGGCGCTTCCTGTGGAATCAATGTAGAAGGAGGTGCAGGGTGTCTCCAAGGTGGACACAGCTGAGGGGGTCTCAGGAAGTTCCCCCGAATCTATCCCAGCAGGGATAAGGCATGGACAGTGGGAAATCAAGAGTCTCTGCGTTCAGCCTGGCGTGGGCGGAAATCTTGGCTCTGTCGTATCTTAGCTCTGCAATTTGGGACAAGATATCCAAATTTCGCCTATTTCAGTTTCCGTAGCTATAAATGAGGGAGTGGTGCTAAATTCAGAGAGCCTCTGGGAAAAGCTAAATGGGGTTATCTAAGTGAACATCCAGTATGAGCCAGGCACATGTATGGACCCAGTGGCCACAGGTTCCCTTCTCTTCCATGTCTGTCTGCCACCTGCCAGGGACACAGTTGACAGCAGCCCTCACCATTTCACTGGGTGGGGTGTAGAGGGGTGGGAGGACATGTGCAGGTGAGCATCTGGAGGCTGGCTTCTCTCGCTCTGTCCTGGCTGCCTCTCCCTTCAGGTTTCCTCTCTCACCTGACTTTCAGGTAGCTACAGGTCCGGTTCTGCTCTTTCTAAGCTACATGACCTTAGACGCCTATTAGAACCTCTGCTTCTCCATTTGTTGAATGAAGAGGTTTTAACACACAAGACAGATGTCAGGACCCCAAAGCCAGGTACTCAGTAATCCCCTTAAGAAGAGGAAGAGCAAGTGCCTATTCCTTGCTTCTGGAAACTGCTGAGCCTCTGACCCAGGTGACCCATCCAACCCAGACAGAGAGATGGGAGAAAACTGGACAGACCTTCCTGGCTTGGAACTTCTTGAGATCATTTTGGCAAGTGAGTAAATGAAGCATAGGTGTGTGTGTGTGTGTGTGTGTGTGTGTGTGTGTGTGTGTACGTGTGTGTGCGTGTGTGTGTTTAAGGTAAACTAGACTTTCTGCAATTTTCAGCTGTTCCAATTCTCCTGGTCCCAGGCTCAAACGGCAGCAGCTTCTGGCACGGAGGACCCGGGGCCCACAACCCTGAGATCCGAGGATGTAACCCACTATGCAGCTGCTCTGTACCGATGCACGTGGGTGGGCTGGGCTGCCAGAAGAATCTGTTTTCGATCCTCACGCAGCTGATCTCTGCACTTCCCTGCAGTGCATAGCCTGGGTCGCACTGGAACACGGTGGAATCGCCGGCTTCCCAGCTGTCGCCACTTCGGCTCCCATTCTGAGGGACCCCGGGGTCATTGCAGGAAGTTGCTGTGGACACTGAGGCAAGGAAACAGAAGAGGGAGTAGAGTTGTTACTGTCTGACGGTCATGGAGACACCCTGTTTGTCAATGAGGACCATTTCTGCCCTGGCTACTGCCATGGCCACTGTCACCTCCCCACCACTGTCATGAGCTCTGGCAACAGTGCCATCATCCTTCCTGCCACTGCTTCCACACAATGCACAAGGTCACTGCATCCACCAAGACTGCGCTTTCCCTGTGTGAAAACAGTCTCAGACCCTTTAGACCTCCACCACGTTCAGGGAAAAGTCAGATGTTTGTAGCAAGTGGCAGAGCAAAATTCAAAATCAACATAAGTAGCTGAGCTACATTAGGAACTGAGGGGGCTGGAGAGGATGGCTCAGGGGTTAAGAGCACTGATTGCTCTTGCAGAGGACCTGGGTTCAAATCCCAGGACCCACATGGCGGCTAACAACCATAGGTAACTCCAGTTCCAGTGGCGGCCAACAACCGTCCACAATCCCAGTTCTAGTGGACCTAACACCCTCTTCTGACCTCTGAGGGCACTGCACAACACGGGTGTACTTACACACATGCAGGCATAACACTTATACACATAATAAATAAATAATAATAAAAATAATACATTTTAAAAAACTGAAAAAGGGGGCTGGGGAGATGACTTGGAGAAAGAGCTGGCTGTGCAAGCATGGTGATCTTCAGATCTCCAGAAGTGCCTGATAACCCCAGTACTTGTGAAGTAGAGACCAGGGATACTGAGGCAAGCCGACTACCTAGACCAGCCAAATCCATGAGCCTGGATCCTCAGTAAATAAAGCAGAGAGTGACCAAGGAAGACACCAACATCAACCTCTGGCCTCTACACTCACATACATGCATATGCACCCCCACACAGGAACATGCATATGTATATACATACAACACACACACACACACACAGCCTTCAGGAATTAATATGTTTGTGATTTAGTGTCTAAGCAAGTCAATAGGGTACAAGTGTTGGTGGAAGAAAGGAACAGACGAATGAATGAGGGGATCAATGGATGTGGCCTAAGAAATGCAACGCAGTCCAGAGAAGGAGCTCTGAGACAGCCACCACATTCCAGCTGCCTCCCCGGGCCAGAGCCAATAGCTGGCCCTGTCCCCTGAGCATGTCATCACTTAGACACTGAGGTTTATCTGGAGGCTGTGGGGTAAGGAATGTTTGTTTGCTTACAGGGTCATTTTCTTTCTCCCAAAAAATTTTGGAGAAATTTACTTTTACATTGAAACAAAGGAATCCATTCTGGCCCAAAATATGCAATTCACATTGGCTTTTGTATAAACCCATGAAGCCTCAAATGGATTCTGGGCTGGCAGCACATTCCAACCCCCTGGGGAGATGCACCCATTCTATTTTGCCACCAGGTGGACCTCAGTGGAAATGGCTGAGGAATGGCAACCTAGGGACCCTGTCACCAGTGTTATGAGTTATAAGATCTGGGTCTGTGTGGACCTGTTTGCAGTTACAGTATCTGATACCTTTGATTTCATAACATCAAAGGGAGATTTCGATGAACTTCAGCCCATAGTCAAAACTGCCTCTGTGCTTGCTTATGTAAATAAAGTTTTATTGAACACAGGCATGCTCTTTTGTTTACATGGTATCTATAGCTGCTTTCATGCTATGGAGGAAGAGAGTGCATTCTAACTACAGCAACAGCATGGCCCGCAGAGGCTGAAGGACTCGTCTTTGACAGGCTGTGCAACTGACTCCCGCTAATGGCACCCTAACCTTTCCTCTTCCTCTACCTTCTGCCCTCCCTCCGTCCTTCCCTCCCTCCCTCCGTCCTTTCATCCCTCCCTCCCTCCTTTCCTCATTCCCTTCTACTTTTCTTTTTTATGATTTTTGGTTTTATGTGTATGCGTGTATTGCCTGAACGTAGGTAGGTACACCCGTGTCATGCAATGCCCGTGGAGGTCAGAAGAGGGCGTCGGATCCCCTGGAACTGGAGTTAAGGACCGTTGTTACCTGCCATGTGGGTGCTGGGAATTGAACCCAGGTCCTCTGCAAGAGCAGTCAGTGCCCTTAACCACTGAGCCATCTCTGCAGGCCTCCCTTCTATGTTTCCTCCCCTTCCCCACTTCATTGCAGTTCTGAGAATTGAACCCAGGGTCTCATCATACTAGGTGAGCACTCTACCACTGTCTTATTTATTTATTTCACATTTTAGTTTTGAGACAGGATCTCACTACATCAATCAGGCAGTCTTTGAACTTGTCATCTTCCTGCTAAGATTACAGGTTTGTGCTGCCAAGCCCAGCAGGTATCCTACTTTAAACCTCTTTATAGGTTGCATTTTAAAACATCCCCTTTGTTTTAAATCTAGCTTTAACCATTACAACCATCAGTGATGCTCTATCACTGTTTATTTGCAAACGCTTTCAACACAGCAAGCTCAGTTCCCTCTTCCTTCCTCCACACAGGACCTTTGCACCTGCTGCTCCTTCTGCCTGGGAAGATCCTGTGGCAGATCTTCCCATACCAGCTACCATGATATTAGATTTTCAGCTCCATATCTCCTCCTTTACACAGGCCTCCCTGACCCTGTATTTCTGGGCCCATTCCCAACCTTCTCTACCACTTTCATTGCATTATCCTGTTTGTTCTTGTCCCAGCACAATCTGCAGCAATCTTGCTAATTTAGTTGTTTACCTGTTCCTTGTCTATCAGTTGGTTATCTCTGTGGGAACACGGCCTATTTGGCTCCTCACTGTATCCCCAGGGCTCAGCCCCAGCACTCAGCACAAGATAGTGCTCAGTAAATATTTGCTGAATGAATGAATGAATGAATGAATGAACAGATCATGAGTATTTGACACTTACTGAACTTATTTAGAAAGTCAAATAAGAATCATCTTCTGCCTTCCCAATTAAAAACAGACTTAGCTTTCATCCCCGGCTTCACAGAGTGCTGTACACACATGTAAATGATTCCCCGGGAGAGAAATAGCTTGCCGTTCTGGCCACACGACGGAAAGGTTATTTATATGGGAGGCAACAGAGTACAGTGATTAAGCGCTAGGTTTGGGAATCAGACACGTGGGTTTTGATCCAGGCTCTGCAACTTATTAACTATATGACCTTGTATGAGAAACCCCAGGGCCCACATCTGCAATATGCATTAATAATGGTGTCTGTACCGTTGGGTTTTTGTAGAAATTCTAAGAGACAGTCTGGTGGAGGGCTTAGCTGCTGCCACTCTGTAGATGGCTGAGATCACGCTGCCTGCTCACCTCTTTCTGTTCTCATTTTTTCTGTTTAACGCTCCTGGATTTGAGCTGCCTGCCAAAGCCCCGGGGAAAGGCTGGATCCACGTGGTATAGACAGGATGTTAGATGTTACACAGTCATGTTTACTTAATAAAGCCAAGCTTGTGCTAATTGTCCCTGGCATTTCTGCACAATCCCTAGTCAAACACACCCTATCAGTTCACGTGGGGTAAGCCGTTCACTCTCCCTAGAGGAGTTCTGGTATTTGCTAACTGATGACAGCAACAGGAAAGGTGACCTTTTCCGAACCTCAGGTACGCCTAGAACACTGGGGCCATGTTGTCATGGCCTTTCTGGAGCCCAGGCTAGGTAGCTGGGGCCACTTTGCTCACTTTACAAAGTGCTTAGGGCAAGCTTGCCCAAGAAGACCCTGGTGTCACGGAACCCCTCTGGTCATGTTTTTATGACTTCATGTATTTGAACACTTGCTGCATACATACACTCCAAGGGAGCCTGGCAGACCTGGCATGGCCTTCATTCTCTAAGAAGGAGTGCTCAGTATAATACCAGGGAGGTACCACGCCAAGACAGTCAGCAGCACTTGCGTTGGCTGGTGCTGGAGAAACAGAAGCAAAACGCTGGGCGTGCCACAGGCTGCAGCAATTTATTCAGAATGGGGGATTAGGAGGCAATGGCATCCGTGATGAGCCCTGAAGGATGAATTGGACTTCTGCAAGCTTAGCAATGTGTGAGGAACCTCTGTGAGCGAGGCTCAGCTGTAGGAGCGTGCCCAGGGACCGTCCCATGTGACTATACTGAGGACACAGAGAAGGTCAGATGATCCAGGTCTGTGGGGAAACTCACCAGGAGACTCACAGACTTCTTTCTCCTGTTTTGTTTTAACCATATCCATCAGCTTGGGCACAGTCAGAGAAAATACATGTGTGCTTTAATTATTCATGCCGCTTCTTTCCCCAGAGAGTGCCTAAGAGTCTCTTCAAGATTCTCTCCTCTGTATGCTGGGAGCCTTCCATTGCTTATCCCAGCAATTTCCAACATTTGCTCCATAAAATGTTAGTCTCCTGAGACCACCTCAAAAAGAATCATGCATGGTCAGATGCGTTTGGAAAGTGTGACCTTCCAGACATGTTTTGAATTTATTTATGTGTGAGCATACCGAATGTTCTCAGAGGCCCCACGTTACAGATAATCTGCTCAGGTTTGCCTCAAGCAAGCATCTTTCCGACATGATTGGATTCTGCAAGCTTGTTTTTTTCCAGTGCCAATTAATATTCCATGGATCTCTGAGAGTAGATTGGAAATGCCAGGCTTGAAGCCTATACACATGCTATATGGACAAGTTAGTAAGTACAATTGTCCCTTAGAACCCTTGTGGGACTGGTTCCAGGTAGTCTCCCAGCCAAGGACACTCAACTCCATGATGCTTAAGTCCCTTATATGAGAATGCCACAGCATTTGCATATAGCCCATGCAATCATTTTGTGTACTTTAAACCATCTGTAGATGACTTATAACACCTACTGTCATGTACATGCTATGCAAATAGCTATTACACTATATTGATTGGGAATAATTACCAGAAAAAATGTCTGTACCTGTTCAGTACAGGTCCGATTTTTCCCCCTAAAATTTTTGCTCTTGCATTGGCTGAATCTGTGGATGCAGAACTCCCAGATACAGAAGGCCAACTATGTCAAGGAAAGTGTGACCTTCCAAATACTTCTCCAGACCCTAGAGACCGCCCTCCACACATACTGGTAAACGCTCATTTCCACAGAGAAGATTCATGAAAGAGCTAGAAATGGGTTGGACATCCCATTACAGCCTCATGGGTATCAGGGGCTGATCTACCAACTGGGAGAAAATGTGGGGGCAAAGCCACCTGCCCCAGAGTCACCAGGAGCACCCTGCCCCCCACAGTGGGCTGAGGAGATGTTAATGAAGACAGCTGCTGTATAATAAACCTCAGCAGAAACCAAGGCAGAGTCATTTGCCTTGTTCTGGGAGAGGAGCGACAGACAAGACAGTTCAGAAATAATGCCTTCAACTAGAGGCAGATTAGCCAACACGGGGACTTGGATGTCTGAGCATTGCCCATTTTGGTAGCTCCTCGCTATGCTCTTCCACAGTCGGAGAGGGCAATGCATAATTAATTGAATTTAGATTGCTCATGCTTTGCTTCCAGCGCTTTCCAAAACCTGCACTCAGTGAAGGACTAGGGCATGTGGCACATGGCACCAACTCTTTCAGAACGATACCCCACGCCACCGCCCACTGGGCCTTCCTTGCATTCCTCCATGTACTCCAAGGGCCACCCATCACTCCCAGAGCCCACTGTTCTGTTCCTGAGCTGCTCTTTGCACCAACGATGTCCTATCCTCTCCCTTTTTGTTAGGGTTCACAGTGATCCTCTAATGCTCAGCTCAGTGGAACCGTTTCACGGCACTGATGACCATCCCCCCTTAAAGCACTTTCTCTTTCCACGTTTCTCTGTTAGTACCCAAGTATCTCCCAACCTGCCTGCTTTCCCTATGATAGTAACTTCAGCACAGAAATTTTGTGTGAGTGTGCATGGTGCGTGCGCATGTGTAGGCTGGAGATTAATCTGGTGTTATTTCTTAGAAGCTGTCCTCTTTGTGTTATGAGACGGTCTCTCATTGGCTTGGAACTCAGCAAGTAGTCTAGGTTGGCTGGCCAGTGAGCCCCAAGGATCCATCTGTATCTACCTCCCCAGCACTGGGATTGGAAGTGTGTGCTCCCCCACCTGGTGTTTTTACATAGGTTCTGGGGATCAAATGCAGGTCTTCATGCTTCTGTGGCAGGCACTTTACTAAGCTATTTCCTCAGTCCTTCAGCATGGATGAACCACGAACTACAGAAGAGGACAATAAATACCTTTGCATGCATGGAGAGATGGGAGGAAGGGGGGTTGGAGGCGCTGGCAGTGGGTGAGCACCCACCTGCGAACTGAATAGCAAAGCCCTGCTTGCTGGTGAAGAAGTCAGTGCTGAACTGCAGGACGACCGAGTTGAAGGTGCTGTGCAGGTCCTTGGGCAGCATGGGGCCACTCAGTTCCTTGAGCAGGACCCCACTCTCCACAGGCCCGTCCCAGATGCGTAGCACATCATGGACCTCCTCTGTGTCGAACACCAGGAAATGGAGCCTGGATGGAGAGAAGAGGCAAGTGGTCACCCCAGGCTCCAGTGCCTTCTTTCCAGGATCAGGGACTGTCCCAAGCCAAGGGAGACGCGCAGGGATGGGAAGAGGACAGCATCTGAAGCATCCTCCTGTTTCAAACTGGCCAGCTCCACCCACTGGGTGTGGAGTTAGTTCGTGTTGTTTATGAGCTCTGTGTTGGCATGGTCAGACTTCATCCCTCCTCTCAACCAACTCTCACAGCCCCCAGACCATGCTTTTGAGCACTTAGATTGGAAGACATCTGGAGTAGGAGAGGATACGGATGATGACTGGTGAGATGGCTCAGCAGGTAAAGGTGCTTGCTGCCAAGCCTGACCACCTGAGTTCCGTCTCTGGAACCCACATGGTGGGAGAGAATTGATTCCTGAAGGTTGTCTTCTGACCTCTGTACACATGCCATGACATGTATGCCCACACATCACACACACATACACACGCACATATAAATAAATGTATCTATTTAAAAATGTGTTGGTGGAAGCAATTGTGGGGCCTCTCAGAGGCTGGCTGGCCATAGGAGAGCTGGAATGAGCCTCTATTTGGTTTCCCAGAGCAGAACTCTGAAGATATTCGCTACAGACAGACTCTGCTTAGGGAATCCCTGCTAACTAGGGCAGACCAAGAAACGGGCTGTGTGTTTGCGTGTGTGTATGTGTGTGTGCTGTGTGTTTGTATGTGTGTGGTGTATGTGTGAGTGCACTGTGTGTGTGGTGTGTGTGTGTGTGTGGTGTGTGTGTGTGTGGCATGTATGTGTATGGTATGTAGCCTGTATGTAGTGCGTATGTGTACTGTGTGTGGCATGTGTGTATGTGGCATGCATGTGGTATGTGTGTAGTATGCATGTATACTATGTATGTGTGGCATGTGTGTGGTTTGTGTGCTGTGTGTGTAGTGTGTATGTATACTGTGTGTGGTGTGCATGGCACGTGTGTATGTGAGTGTGGCATGTATGTAGTGGTGTGGTGTGTGTACTGCGTATGGGTATGTGTGGCATGCATGCATGTGTGTATGTGTGTGCTGTGTTGGTGTGTGTGACATGTGTATATGCATATTGTGTGTATGGTGTGTGCTGTGTATGTATGTGGTGTGTGTATACTATGTGTATGTGATGTGTATGAGTGTGAGTGTGTGTGTAAGGGAGGGTGGTACACCACACTGAGCTCTCAGAGCAGGAAGTCTAATAGGAACCTCAGTTGCATCCCAAGATGCAAAAAGATTCTAGCAGCTGAGGATACTGTGGGCTACACACCTGCCCCCCCACTCTCTCTCCCCTAATCAATTTATTCTTAACTTTGGAATAATTTGAGACTTACAAGAATGATGCAGAGATGATGTAGAGGATTACTGTAACCTTCTCTCCAGTTCACACCTGTAGCATATTTGTTTTAACTATGAAACTAACGCTGGTACATTACTGTGAATGAACCCCAGATCTCACAAGGGTGGTACTGCTTCCCACTGAAGTCCTTTTAGTCTTCTGTGATCCAAATCACTTATTGCAATCATTTCTTAAAAATATCTCTTTAAATTACAAGAATGAGCCGGGTATGGTGGTGCACGCCTTTAATCCCAGCACTTGGGAGGCAGAGGCAGGAGGATCTTTGTGAGTTCAAGGCCAGTCTGGCCTACATAGGGGAGTTCCAGGTCAGTTAAGCCTTGCATAGTGAGATCTTGTCTTAAAAATTATAAAAATTAGACATACAGATATTTTAAGATCTCTCTTTTTTCATATAATCAACCCAACTCCAGATTTTCACTTAATATTAATACATTTCCTTCCAGACTTTTCTGTGTGTGCATATACATATTGTACTGTTCCCCTCAACATAGGATTATGTTTAACATGGTTTTGGAATCCTTCCTTCTTTCCACCCTCCTTTTTCCTTTTTTTTTCTGAGACAGAGTCTCATGTAGCCCAGGCTGGTCTTGAACTTACTATGTAGCCAAGGATGACCTTGAAGTTCTAATCCTCCTGTCTCCACCTCCAAGTCTTGAGTCTTGAGATTATAGGTGTCCATCACCATACCACCGCACCCAGCTTCATGTGGTGCTGGGGACTGAACCCAGTGCTTCACGTGCATGCTAGGTGAGTGAGCACTTTACCAGCTGAACTTTATTCCAGGCCCTGGTTTTAGATCACGCTCTTTACTAATACTATATTATGGACATCTATACCCATTTTTTTCTTATAGAAATGAACAGTCTATTTCCTCATTTCTCATTAAACTACAAGCAACATGCCCATCTTTGTGGAACTTTGCCTGTTCTGCCAATGTTTCAGATGACTTGTAGAAATAACTTTTGTGGGAGGAGTGGAGGGAAGAGCAGCTTTTTCCTGACAAATGTTGCCAAATTGTCCTGTGATTCTATCAGTCTTAGTTTCCACTAAGCGGCATTAACTTTTGAAATATTTTATTTTATGTGTATAAATGTACTGCTGGCATGTACCTAACTGCATCCATGTCATGCCATGTCCATGGAGGTCAGAAGAGGGCATCAGATCCCCTGGAATTGGAGTTATGGATGGTTATTACCTGTCACATGGGTGCTGGGACCTGAACCCTGGTCCTCTGCAAGAACAGCTAGTGATTGTAACTGTTGAGCCAGCTCTCCAGCCCATTTTTACTATTCTTTGTAAACTACACCTCTTCAACACCATATACTATGGTGCTGAAAATATATTCTGCATTAAAATACTCTCCCATCTGCTAGTCCAAAATGGAACCTCAATGGCATTTTGAATTTAGATAATTTAGTATCTTACACAATGTTGGAAATTTTCTGCACATTTTTGAGGCGTTTCTATCTCTTCATACTTTTCTATCCATCTTAATTAAGGTACTGGTCTTTTAAAATTCTGTTTATATACCAGGAGCTTTATTTGTTATCTTTGTTTATGTTGATTCCTTTTGTGTAATATATATTTCAATGCTAGTATTATCTCCTGGTGTCTGGTACATTTTTCCCTTTAACTCTTGTTTATAGTATCTGTAATTCAAATATATTAATCTTTTTCTTTTATAAAATAATTATTTTTATTTTATGTATATTAGTGTATTGCCTGCATGTATATAATTACACCTGTGTCGTGCAATGCCTGCAGAGGTCAGAAGAGGGCACCGGATTCCCTGGAACTGGAATTTTGGGTGATCATTGGGTGACATATGGGAGCTGGGAATCGAACCCAGGTCCTCTACAAGAACAGCCAGTGCTCTTAACCGCTGAGTCATCTCTCCAACCCCATTAATCTTTGTTTTTAAGGATGCAAAATGCTTGCTGTCAATCCTGAAAATATGAGTTTGATTCCTGGGACGTGGGTAGAGGGAGACCACCAATTCCTACAAGTTGTCCTGTCTTCCACACCACACACTGTGGTGCGTACACATGCAAAGTAAATAAATGTACTAAAAAAAATTGAAAATATATGGGGGGGGGTAGAAAGACTGTAAGAGCAGAGGAAGCAGACACCATAGGGAAACAGTGTTTGCTGGACATGATAGCATCCTTGAAAATATGAAATTACATTGGCTGTGACTGCATGCACAAGAACTGCACAAGATCAAGCCAGCCAAAATCTCAGGATGGGTGGGCGAGGGCTCACAAAGTCCCATCCTAGCAGAGGAGCTACTAGTAACTGACAGCTGCTAGGGGAGGGCGAGTCAGTTTTCTTCGGGGATGTGGTCCTTGAGATAGGTGATCCCAAACCCATACACATACAAGCACCACTAAGTATACTTGGTGAGTTTCAAAAAGCGGGACATGTGAAATTGAGAGGAAAAAGCCATGGTGGTGGGGGATCAGGGGAGGGATTGGAGGGGAGGGGACTGAATTGGTCACATTTCCTACTAAAATGGGAGAAGAACTGATATCCTTGTTAATAATATTCCCCCAGGCAGGAACACTGTGAAAAGCTTCATTTATATAGCTGGGCAAAGGGCTTTGGCTTTCTTCTTTTTGATGGCTGTCTTCTTTGCACACTTCTTGTTAAATTAATTCTTTGGAAATCTGTAAGTGTATGATTTTTAGTTTCGTTATGAATGAGATAATTTTTACTTACATAGCCTAGTCATTTGCTGGTGTGTGTGTGTGTGTGTGTGTGTGTGTGTGTGTGTGTGTTTTCTGTTCACCCACCAATCAGAACGAAAAGGATCCAAGTGAACCTCTGGGATTTCCTAGATCAACCTTTGACACACAGATTCTTCAGTACCAGGAACTGTGTGTGGCTGGGGCCCCACTCTTGACTGAAAAGGGGGTGAAAAAGCTCTCTAGGAAGCGAGCAAACACGTGACCCCTCTGCTTTGCCAGTTGCTTGTTTCCTTCTGGGCTCTCTCTCTTGCCAGTCAGTGGACTGTGAAACTAGCACCCCAGCACAAGAGTGGGTCCAGTGCACTGCTGGACCTGCTCTGGAGAGGAGAGGTCGGTATGGCCACACTTGCCATGAAGAAACGTGGGCAGCACGGAATGCATTTTTAGTTTAGATTTAATAACATAGGACAGGGAGAGGGAGACAAGATTTAAGCCGTTTGGCTTCTGTGCTTGAGCTCAAGTAGCTTTATGATGTCAGAGGAAAAGAGGCCAGACCCTGAGAGGGAAGAGCACAGAGTTCTTGGAATGCACCGGAGGGAGCTGGGATTTTTCTCTCCTGGCTAGAGACGACTCCAGAGGAGGTCTGAAGCCCCTGAGGCTGAGCCACGGGATGAGTGAGGGAATCAGTGAATGAATACTGAAGCCCCAGGAGGATCAGCCTGCAAGGAAGTTGGAAAGAAAAAGCGGAACACAGAGGCTGAGTAGACATGAAAAGCAAGCTTCTGTAACAACCACTGTGTGCAAGGCCCTTTCCCACAATCCCACTGAGCCTGCACAAGGCCCTTTCCCACAATCCCACTGAGCCTGCACAAGGCCCTTTCCCATAATCCCACTGAGCCTGGACAAGGCCCTTTCCCACAATCCCACTGAGTCTGCATA